TTAGTATATATTAAGCACTTCAATATATATACACACGGTACCGTTAAAATATGTTTTTGTTTATAATTTATTCTACATGTTTCATTAAAATTCAAGTTAAAAATAAAACGCATTATTCTTTTTTTGTATGACGAATACTCTACCATTGTCTCTTCCACATCCCCAACTGATAATGTTCAATGAAATGTGCGAGTAGGCTAGGGCATAATGAGCACTCAGTAAACCAGTTTCATCTAAAGTATCTTTCATTTGTAATATTCCAAAGTAAGCACTGTTCAACTTTTTACAAATGTTATCAATATGAATATCCCATGATAATGCTGGATCAAGATAACTACTGAGAAATTTTGTTTCATTAGATACTTTAGTGTTAAAAATTTCAAAATTTGATGGTAAAGACTTTCTAATGTGAAGATTCATAAAAACAGTCTTATCTTTATTTAATATTAATTTGTTTCTGTCGCACCAAGCACTTAATTCATTTACAACTTCTTCCGCTCTCATCTGAACTTTTTCAGGACTCTCTGCTGAGACTGAAATAGTCGTATCATCAGCATACATAGTTACATGTCCATTGTGTATATAATTCGGAAGGTCATTAACATATGGCATGAATAGTAACGGTCCCAAGACAGAGCCCTGAGGGACGCCAAGTTTAACTTCATGAGCATTTGATATTATGTTATTATAGTTAACTGTTAATGACCGATCCTCCATATATGACTATATCCATTTTAAAGGTATATGTCTAATTCCAAGATTATAAAGTTTGTTTAACAGAATATCACTTTGTATGGTGTCAAAAGCCTTTGACAAATCGAAAATGATGAATTTTTGTCATTCCATTATTAATCGACTAAATGTATTTAAATCAATTTCATATTTTAAAGAATACTTTTGGAGTTATTCAGAAAAAAAACATTATTTCCTACATTTGACAGATTGTAGCTCCATTAGGAAGCAACGTCTTTATTTAGGGGCAAATTTTACCTTTACGACACTTATACTTTTACAAATCCTAGTTATTCTCTCAAAATTTATCTATTGGTGAATTTGTTTTCCATAATTGAAGAGCACCCTCTCCACTGGTCTTTTTGGTTGGTATTCACTTCTTCGCAATTATCGTGTACTGAAAAGTAAATAATAATAATTGGTATTCAACTGGTTGACTTTACCCATTTAAGAGTGGTACTGGCAATTTTGTGGCACTGTTCTTTTGGTACTGTTTGACCGGAAATGATGGCACCTTTTTTTATTTGGAACAGTAAGTTTTTTATGTCTTATTTTGAATACGCTTCTTGTTTCCTGCCAAACAGTACATCATTTGCATAAGAAGGAACTCTGAAAAATCGACCTAAAGTTGATGAAATAAGCATATTTGCAAGTTTCATTTTTATGCCTAAGACTTTATCTATTGAAATGTAACTATTGTAAATTGCTGATTGTTGAGCGTCACTAACTCACGCTCACACGTGTCTCAATTACGATGTATGTAGGTGGTGGGGGTTGTGTAATACATGTACGGTTGCTTGTTTATTGATTTGAATGCTACGTATTATCGACGTTTTGAATTATTTATAACAGACCTTTTACGATCGTAGAAAACCTGAATTTAATTTATCGCTTTGTTATTTATTTTGAGGTAATTCATATAAGTTTAATTTAGGAAAATTCATTTTAAGCATTTTCAGTAATTATGTACTAATCTTCTACATTTAAAAAATGACAATACAGCTTATAACGAGCCCGCACAAATGATCGAAAACAACGTGATCAATTAATTCCTTTTAACAGCCTCGCCGAGTCGTGCTGTTAGCAACAGATGGTTGAAAACGATTCCTTAGACACATACGTATGTGTCACAGATACTGTCGTAATATGAAAGGCACAAAATCACGAGCTAAAAGGTACCAATAATCACGTGGTTTTTAATCATTTATGAAGACTTTGTATTTATAACATCACAGCAGCAACATTTTATTACATACTAAAGTCAGTATAAGAATTTTAGTCTCCCAACTTGAAGTTGTGAACGTACCATCAATCGCTTGAAATATCCAAATTCCAGAGATCTAGTAATTTTAACGTTGTTGAAATGGTGGTAACGACGTGTCATGTGTTATTTTTTTATTAACATCTTTGGCCTTAAATAGCTAATGAGTTTCAAAAAAAATCTTCATTTCTGTCAATAAATTAAAAAGAAGATTTCCGACTTTGTTAAAGCACATTTCATTTTGGTTGTTTTGAAAACAGTTATGAATAAAATTGTCTATTACCTAATGCTGTTTCAACGGAAATATCTTCGAATTTTGTCTGGCTTTCCTTAATAGCTGCAGACTCGTCAGAATTGAATTGTAGTATTACAGCTTTTATTTGTTATAAATATTCAGCATGATAAAAAGCTGCCTTCAACCATGTTCCCCAAAGTGTAAGAATCGGCTGTGGTTATGTGTTGACGATACGACAGATTGTAAAAAAAATTCTATTGTAAATGTTATAGTACGTTTACTGGACCCTCTTAAACCGACATGTCCACTGTTATTAGATAGCAAGAGACTGAGTGTACTGGCAAAATAATTACGCGGCTGGTGCTGGAGACATTAGAAAAATTTGGCCTGTCAACAAGTCAAGTATTAATGTTTGTGACCGGTGGTGCCGCGACAATGCGTTTAGTAGGCCATTCTCGTCAAGAACAAGGTTGTAGGTTGGTATACGTGTAAAGTGCATGATTTACATCTTGTGGCAGAAATTATTCGATAAGGTTTTCCAGGGGTAGATACATTAATAGCAAGTAAAAAAAAATAGTTTTACCAGATTAAGACAAATTTCTGATGGTGCTGATGGTGCATCTCAAGATCCGTTAAGTGCGTTCAAAGATTATTATAAGTATGCCTGTATTACATCAATAGATGTCGAACGGTGGTTCTCAAAATATAAGCTTATTTTTTCACCACATCGAACATTACTCTCGGAGACAACCATAGAAACATACAAGATGCTGCAAAGTTTTTACAGATCTTTTCCAGTTCGTGATAACCAAGCTAGTTAAGAGGGTAAGTTGTGCATACATTGTTATAAATTGTAATAGTTTATTGCTTTTATTACTAATTAATTTCTTTTATTACTCTTATTATGATGCGTACGCCTATGTCTCGCCGCACATTTCTGCCAGCTCTACTTATTATTCTCTCAAAAGTCTTGTTTATTGGCAACCGATTTCGAATATTCAAATATCGTCTCCAGACCTACAGTCACTAACCCTGCGGGATGTGGGGAGTGGCTGTAGTTAATGCGCCAGCGCGACTCCCGTGAGGCGTCGGAGGCCACGGGAGGACTGTCCGGCATTGGATAATCCGAAAAAGATAATAATAATAATAATAATAATGTTTACTAAATCCAACAGACACTACAGTCTATAAATCTGGATACAATATAGATACTTGTACTACACTATTGTAATTTAAGGGTAAAAGCGATACCCTAATAAACAAATAATATTAAAATTGAAGTATATCAAGATTTGTAAAAACAGTTTAGGAAGAGATTTATAATTAATATATAATTTGGTGCCCTATAAGAACAATATCAATTGATGTGTTAAGTTAAGCTAAATCAATGTATTGGTGTTAACTGTTTCCCTAATAGTACTTAAAAATACATGCGAGTCATCACAGAAAATATCAGCTGAGTATTGTACTTCATTATACAATCTGCACATGCTATATAACGGAGAATTTTTTGTGTTGATTTGCACAAGGATATCACACCTAAAGGTAGGAGAATGTCTGGACCCAATTCTAGGCACGTGGAACTGAAGCAAATTTAAAAATTCAGAATTATCAACTTGACCGTGTACGAGTTTGTATAATTGCATAATATATGACATCTTACGTCTAATGAACAAGGGTTTCAAGTTAAATTCATTAATTAAATTAGAATAATTATAGTTTATATCTGGATATCTTTTGTATTTAATAAAATGTATTTTATTACATTGTTACAGTATTATATTTACAAAATTTTAGAGTTTTTAGACAATCCAAGCATTTTTTATACTACGATTACTAATGTAATCATAGTGTGGGATAAAAAATAATTCCGGATCAAAGATTATTCCAAGATCCTTTATCTGGTGAGATCTTGTTAAAATTACATCATTTACCGTATATTCGTATGTAATTTTCTCCCGTTTTCTAGAAAAAGTCATCACCTGACATTTCTTAGTATTAGACTTAATTGGTTAGCAACACACCAAGCGGTCAAGGAGTTAATGTCTGATTGTAATGTTTGACAATCATGTTCATCATTGATAACTCTAACAATTTTCAAATCGTCAGCATATAAATAAGTTTTAAAGTCTAGCAACTCAACAACATCATTAATAAAAAGTAAGACCATTAACGGGCCCAGGTTTGAGCCTTGCGTGACACCACTGCTGGCACAATATAAAATTGACTTGAATCATCTATGCACCACATATTGCAGTCTCTCGGTTAATAAAGAAATAAACAATATAATGAGATCATCACACAGTCAAAAATATTTAAGTTTGTTAATTATAGTTTCATGGTGCACCCGATCAAAAGCTTTCGTGAAATCAATATATTACATCAAGTTGCTTTCTTTGATCAAGTACACCTGAAACAAATTGAGTAAAATTGTACAAATTTGTAGCAGTTGACCTACCCTTGACAAAGCCATGCTGGCTGTTACATAACTGTCTAACAACATTACTGGTTACATAATATGATACAATACTTTCAAATATTTTGGCAAAGTTGGGTATAATTCCAACTGGTATATAATTGATAATAAAAATTTATTGCCTGATTTAAAGACAGGACAAAGTTTTTACACTTTTCATTGTTTTGGAAAAACTTCCTGTCTTAAGATGAACCTAAATAAAAAATATAACGGTAATTCAAGACACCCCATACAGTCTTTAATTAAAAACGCTGGTATATTATCGACTCCCATAATGAAGTTAGGTTTAATGTAACTCCGTGGTTTAGAGGTAACATACTTGCCTCGAAACTTCGAGGTCCCGGGTTCGAGTCCCGGTCGAGGAACTGGGATTTTTCTGTGAGAGATATTAATCGTAGTATACTCAGATATTGGGTATGTTGTCCATTGTCACTAAATGTGTAGCCCTCTCCCACACAAGGTCATTCCAGACCATCAGGGATAAAGGGGGTTGTAATTTCATGTGGTGTTATTATTATTATTATATTATTATTAATGTTTTTCACAGTTCTTCTTATGTCACAAACACTAACATCAAATGTGTGAAGAACATTATTACCACTAGAAACATAATCATTATCAGAAGCACCGTTATAATCATTGTCAAGAAACATGCTTTTGAAATATGTGGCAACTCTGTTCACTCTATCCTGCGGATGTAATAGTGGTTCCTCATTAAAGGTCATATTGCCAGGAATTCTAGTAGTCTTTTTCTTTTGCGTTAACATAATGCCATTATTCATTCGGATTATTTTTTATATTATCTTCAACGGACTTTACAAAGTTAATATATTCCCTCCCAATACTACTTTTAATTTCACGTTTTAAGTTTCTAATCCTTACTGAATGCTCAAGCAGTTTAGGTTTCTTATGTATCTTGACAAGACGATTTTTAGTAATTTTTCCAATTATGTCTTTAGTAAACTAGGGACGATAATTAGATTGAAATGGTGTTGTTTTAGGCACATACATATCAATGGTTTCATACAATCTGTTGTAGAAAAAGTCACACGCTTCATCAACATCCTTGATAATTTATAACCCCCCCCATCGATCATAGTTATAGCAGTATAGAGCTCATAAAAGTTCGTCTTCCGGAAATTGTATTTAGGAGTAGTTCAACACAAGCCATTATTCTCAAATTTTGGATTATTTTCAGACCACAATTGAGTAGCAGTAAGCCCTGGGATAATGATTGTCCTCATCCACCAATACAAATTAGGCATGTGACACATTACGTGTTATTTCAGTGGATGTGATAATTACATCTAAAATTCTTGAATTAGCATTTAAAATATGGTTATGTTGTTCCATCCTACAAATATTAATAAAGTTCTGCAGCAGATTACATAATGATGACATCCATTCATAATAATTTTGAAGTTCTAGAATATTAAAATCACCAGTTAAAACTGTTAGTGTATCGGAGTTGCAACAATAATTTTCCAGGTGGTCAAATAATGTTTCATATTTAATAGTTGTCAGTGATGGGGGGGGGATACAGATTTATCAATAAGATGGAATTATTAGAACTATTGTACAATTTAACCGCAATTAAGTCAACTTCGAGTAGGGGTTACTCGAGAAAAAGTTCCTCAGATCTGTATTTCGCATCCACGGCAATTAATACACCCCCCACCTCTAATTTCAATTCTGTCACATCTATATACATTGTACTTATCACCAAAATGTTCGCTTGATAAAACATTATTATGCAACCAGGTTTCAGTCAGCATTATAACATCATTGTCACATCCCAAAACATTTGGACTAGAACGTATGCACTTTAGTATTCAACCTCCTGACGTTTTGATATTTAATTTCCATAGAACAGTTTATTTTATTATTTGGTGTTTGTTGGGTGCTTATAAGTTTTTTTTTACATTTTGTATTATTTTAGGAAGACCGTTTCTATATTTTAATTCAATATCTGTTTCACCCTTAGCTCTTCTTTCAGTAAATTCTTTGCGAACCTGATAAGAATAATTTCTTTGCCTTGGAGTAAGATCTGGCCTTAAATAGACACTATTTTCGCATTAGATAAATCAGTGTTAGGTGAGATTTCGTTAATAATTTCCATGACATCATTTGAATCACTATCTGGATTATTTTCAGGCAGTATGATGTATTATATAATAAATAGATTAAAATTTTGGATACTAATAGTGATAATTGTAAATAAACAAACAATTAACTACGTCTTGTCATATATATGCAAATAAAAAAATATAAACACAAATTAATAATAACAGTAACAAACACTTTTTTAAAAAAACCACTGTCTACAGATAAAGTATAAAACTAATGAATACAATGTTTTATTCTTAAAATATTAGAATTGCAATATTTCATACACACCAGTGGATAGTCAGTTGTATACATGTTATGTTACATAAATAATATATGGTACAGGAGCTTAACAGATGCTAGTTACAAAATAACTGAAAATAATGTTATTGATTCAAAATTGACTTGACCTTTAAATGAAATATGATTTGACTTTGTTAATATATAAATTTCTAGTTCTTCGAGCGTGTTTAATAGTTTTTCTTTATTCTGCACATGTAGTGGTTTAAAACCAGTATTTTCCTCAAATGAATGCTTTGTGTCTATTAAATGGTTAGCAAAATGTTAATCTCTAAATTTATTTTTATACAACTTCAGATGTTCTTTTAGGCAAGTTTTAAAGTTCCTATATGTTCTACCCACATAGGCCGCATCACAATTTGAGCATTTCAAAGAATAATAAGTCTTTTATTTAAAACGTTATTATATGTATAATAACACTCTTAAATGGAAGATAACTTTTTTGGTAAACAAGAAATTTGAATATTGAATATTGGATTTTGGAAATGTGGGGGAGTTAATGGTAACTGATTTTGGAGGTTATATTATGCATTTTGTCCCTAGTATTGAACTCATAACATTATTATCTTGGAAAATTGTATATGGTATTCACTTATTTGGAATATTCAGTTGAAGAAATGCCAATAAAGATCCACATACACCACCACTGTCTGTTGGGCTCCCACTCAATGTGGGTCACTCAGGGACCGGAGGCATAAGTTCATCCATCTCCTTTATATGGAAGACATTAAAATTTGTGCCTACGGAGAGCGCAAACTACAAAATGCTCTTAGAACAGCTCGAGTAGATTACTTTGGGTCCTAGAGATGTCTGCGCGGCTGTATTTTAAGATAAGTGCTATAATTTGTTTATTTGGAAAATCATTTGCTACTTTTTATATTGTGTATTTTATAAAATACAATAAAATAAATTTTAGTTTACTATATATTTTTTTTGCTTAGTTCTAGTTATAAATTTTTATACAAATTTTTGCTATCAGTTCTTTTTTTTCTTCTAGACTTTATCACACCTGTACATTTCTTAGTAATTAGATAATTTTAGTGATTTCTGAACCCTAGAAAACATTTTGTATTTATTATATTATAAGAATTCTTTTGTAGTTTTTGCCAAATTGATATCTTATTAATAAATTTTAATTTTAATTTTCCTAGCTTTTTATTTATTTTTCCCACATAAAGAAGGATCTGTAAGACCCTCGGGACCATTTTAGTATAATAGATCCTATACTACTATTTAAGAATGTAATAATTTAATATACAATCTTTTTATTTTTTCACTGTTTCAATTAATTTCGCGAGTAAATAAATGCTTTGTATTTTTCACGGAATTAGTAATAAACAATAAAATAACATGAGTGAAGCTTATTAATTAATTCCTAAAAAAAAATCGTGTACCATTGCATTTCACAAAATTTACTCCCATTTTATTAGTTGTACGAGAGTTGTACATAAGCCCGTAACTGGAATGACTACCTGATCTGCGGTCTATAGTTACAGTTATAAAAAACAGACCATTTTTAATTTGTGGTGAATTTTAAAACTTAGTTATCGCTTAATAAAAATCCATTAGATTGTTAGGTGTTGAATAGGTTTCAGTGGCCTCTCAGTAATTATGCATGTCTACAACCGATTCAAATATTAAAAAAACAAATTATAATAAATATAACTGGAACATAATTATGATAAATTGATCAATTGATGCTTTGCCAAAAATCCAAAAAATACATCAGTCGTCTATCTAAATTTAATAAAAACGTTGTCACATCGTAACATATCTGAAAGAATCTCCAAACACAAATAAATAAAATAATAAAAAATTCTTGGTTAAATTTAAATATTTTTCACGAATGGGCCTCATGCATTGTGACTTGATCCTTTTATATTTTATGCCGTCTGCTTACCAATTTATAAATTGTGGCCGCCAGTCGTGTCTCGCCACGGATTATTTTCATATAATACACCCTTACTTTTCTTTTTTTCTGGCAGGCATTATCATACGATGTAAAAAGACCCAAAAAACCACAAACATTATTCCTTATACCTGACAAATAAAGCTTTTCAGAGCTGAATACAAAGTCGATCCTATTCACAACAGTTATTGTATAGAGAAAATATGGGGATTAGCCGAATATATTTTATCGGTTTAAAATTTATTTAAAATTGGATAAAAAAGTTGATCAAACTTAAGTGGTAAAAAACTAGGCGTGTCTTAATATCACAATCATTACATCAACGAATAGTAGGTATGTACACTGTGTTCATTTGAAGAAATTATTATTCTATACAAACTATAGAAAATGCATGTAAAAATACTATGGCAAGTAATAATTCGACATGGAAACATTTCCCAATCATTTTGAGACGAAAGGGTTACAACGGACGAAACATTTGCAATAATTGTGTTTTCATATTCAAAACTTTAGCACAATTTAATTTTGATGCACTATAAAGTTACCTTATTTAGTTTAAATTGAGACAATCGTTGAAAAGAAAAAAATATTAAAAAGTTATGTTTTGTTTTTCTTTCTCATTTTTAGGACTTACTACCACATGAATAATTCTTTGTTATTTAAAAAACATAGATAGTTACCCAGTATGTTACTGAAAAAATAAACATCTGCGCTTGTGACTTTACGTTAAAAGATTAGTCAGAGGTTATTTTTTGACAATAATGATACATTTATATGTTCCTATATGGACAATAGGAACATAAAAGTTAAATAACATAGCGTGGATTGTATGGAATATAGATCTCATTTAGGAGTTCCACGGGGCCCTGTTTTAGGTCTTCTTTTATTTATGTCATTTATTAATGATGTTTAATTTTATAACATATATTTTAACGTAATGTATGTTTATGACATTAACTGTTAAGTAGTTTCTGATTCTGCTGAATAAATTAACCTTAAAATAAAAACTGTGCTTGATAATGTTAGTACCTGGTGTCACCGTGTGGCCCT